GCCACCAGGCTACGACGAGGACTCGGACGAAGCCTTGCACGAAGAATGAGAAGAACGGGACGAAGCCTTGCGAATGGGAGAAGAATGGGAATAATAATGGGAGAATAATGAAAAGAATGGGACGAAGAATGAGAAGAATGGGACGAAGAATGAGAAGAATGAGAAGAATGGCTATCCCAACCAACCGTCCAGGAAATCTCCGATCCAAGAAACGCCCGGTTGGGCAGCCTCGAGGCAGAGCACCAGAAGCTCGCGGACATGGCACTGGGCCTTGAACCCACTGTGACCAGAGTCGCCACCAGCCAGGCCACATTGGCCGAGCAATGTCACCAACTCGAAACAAATATTACCTCCGTCCAAGCAAGGTAACCCAGCCGTAACATAGATCTGAGGGCCGTCATGACAACGATCTGAGCTGACGACTCAACCGGCGAAAGGAACCCCTGCGAGGTGGCGAACATGCCGAACAGAGCGCCAGGTAGCATGGGGGACCGGCAGCCTGGCTTCGAAACTGAGCGTGGGCCCGCCAGTATGAACGCAGAGTCACCCCGGGCCGAAGCGCCGCCCGACACCACAGGCCTGGCCCCGCCACCTGAGCCTCCGCCGATCCAGGTAGGCACCGAGGCAACAGGCACTCGTGGCCGACACGGCACCGCCATTGGCCGCACGGGGGATCAGAATCAGTTCTGGGTGGTCCTGCTGACCAGTGGCAATGCTGCCGTCCCTGCCACGCCAAGGATGACCCCTCACCCTCCTCGGCAGCCAGTGAATGATACAGTCGGTGGTGCTAAGTCGTCCCTGCCCGTCCCCAGTGGACGTTCCGTGTGCCGGCACAATGATTGCGGACAAGGTATCGGGAACTTTTGCTACGAGTGTCGCGGCGATGGCCCGATGACGCGATGCGCCCTGCGAGCTGATGGCGCGTCGCTCCAGAAAGCCTCGGGAGAGGCTCGGGACGCTGTCGCTTGGGAGTTCGCGCGTCGCGCCCAAGCGTGGTGGGCCAGAACCAGCGGAGCGACACGCTACAGTGCGGACGCGGCCGCAAGACACCCTCGCAGGAAACCCAGTCCTGAAGGCATGCGCTCGAGGTGCGACTAGGGGAAAGCCCAGCCGCACCCCGGGCAGCAGCGGAGTCTCTTGAACGGACGCGCGGGTGACCTCCGCGCACCGCGAGGAGCGAAGAAGCGCAGCAGCATAGGAGCTCTTGCAACGCGGCCACACTGTAAGACTCCCAAGACCTTGACCGTGTACAGTAGGGGCTCGACCACAAGAAACCTTTCACAAGAAACCCAACCCTGAGACCCCAGGACGTCCATTGATTTTTTGGTGTGGGCACGTCACGCTTTCCATGGAAAAGCATCGAAGCCCAAGAGACCCAGGGCACCCTGGAGGCAAGCAGGGTGTCTCTTGGCATGAGCCCCCACTGTACGGGCGGGCATTTTTGGAAAGCATGGCGCCGGAAGTGTCGCCCCAAGGTCGGTGCAGTCTGCGACTACCGGCGGAAAGCGCACAAGCCGAAATGAAGCATGCGGAACAAGCTGATTGGAATAGCAAGTTTCCGCGTCCGTCGCGCGGATGCTCCAATGGAATCGCGGCAAAAATGTAAACTCGCGCGTGCGTACCCCATACCCCAAGACCTTGACCGCGCACGGGCGGGGATTTTTGGACAGCATGCCGCCACACGGCGGCCCTGGCGACACGCTACGCCCTGAAGCGCAGCAGTAGAGGAGTTCTTGAAACGCGGCCACACTGCAAGAGTCACAAGACCTTGACCGCGCACGGGCGGGGATTCTTGGACAGCGTGCCGCCACGCGGCGGCCCTGGCGGCACGCCGCGCCCCGCGAGCGGCCAGCGCGCCGCTCCGCTCCGCGGGGGGCGAGAGAGGCAGAGAGAGGCCCCGCACGCAGACGCGCCCCGGGGCCGCGCGCCGAGGCGCGAGGGGCCGGAGCCCGCGGAGCGACGCGACGGGGCGCGAGCTCCCGACCGCAGATAGATCACAAGGCGCAGCACTCGCCATCGCTCGGACGTCCCTTCCCTGTGCTGTTTTTTTTTTCGGCTTCGTGCGTGGTTTTTTTCGCCAAATGGTCAAGGATGCTCCTCCATGGTCCTCGCCGAAGGAAAAATGCACGCGTCCGAGCGATGCCAAGATCATAAGGTGAATCATAAATGGTGAGGACGTCTCCGGCGACACGCCCAGCCCGCCCCAAAAACTGGCCTCGGGGTGCGACAGGGAGAAATCGCTCATAAGGAAAAGGACTGGGGGTGGAGGTGGAGAAGGAGCAGGAAGAAGAGGAGGGGGAGGAGGAGGAGGAGGACGAAGGGGAGGAGGAGAAGGAGGAGGATGAGGAGGACGACGAGGAGGAGGAAGGAGGAAGAGGAGGGATGCACACGTCCGAGCGATGCCAAGGCACGAGCTCCCGACCGCAGATATTTATCACAGAGCGCAGCACCGCAGCGGCCGGCTCTCGCCGCTGAGCCCTGCGCCCTGCGCTCTGCGGCGGCGGGCCCGTGCGGGGGGGGGGCGGGCGAGCCGGAGGAGGAGGAGGAGGAGGAGGAGGGGGAGGAGGAGGAGGAGGAGGAGGAGGAGAAGGAGGAGGAGGAGGAGGAGGAGGAGGAGGAAGGAGGAGGAGGAGGGAGGAGAGGAGGAGGAGGGGGAGGGAGGAGGCGGAGAGGAAGGGAGGGGGGCGAGGCGGCGACTCCGAAGGATGTGGCCTGCAGAGGCTGCGGGTGCAACCCGCACCCTTGGAGGGCGGGCGGGGACCTCGACGGAGCTCCCCGCCGCGCCACGAGGAGGCCCGACGGGGACCGCGCGGTGCCCCAAGCCCCGACGACGCGGATCGAACACCGACACCCCTGGCATTACCCACTTTGCAGTCGCCGAAAAATCGAGACCCAGTCTGCAATCGGACGCGAGCTCCCGCTGCAAGAGCGCCGGCACACCCGAGCTCCGGCGCACTCGAGCCTTACGTTCCCTGAGATCCGACGTCAGATCAAAATTTGCAACATCGTAGAAAATGACGACAGGAGCCCTGGACCATTCTGCGCGATTTCTCGAGCCCGATCGATCTGTGAGGGCCCCTGACCCGACATGGAGCGAAAACGTCCGCTGTGAAAAAATTGCGACGTCAGGATCTCAGGGTTCCCAAACCCCCGATGTCATGATGATTTTCATCACGCAGCCCCCAGGACGGTCCGGACCCATTTCCCTGGACCGGTTTTGCACCCTGAGCTATTTTTTGACGGCCCCGAGGGCCAGCAGTGGTCGAGAGCCATGAACCCATGAACCCCCCCCCGTCGTCATATTTCTTTCCATGACTCGAGGGTGTCTGGGCTTGCAGCTTGTAGTCGCCGACGATTTGGACGCCCGAAATGGGTACGGAAAGAATGGGTACAATGCCCAACAACAAATGTTGTCCCAAACCAACAGCGGCCGCTGTTGGGCAGGCGGCCTTCTGTCTCGAATGGACACAGGCCGCGGCGGCGTGGTACAGCGAATTCCTGTCCAGAATGAGCCAGAACTGCTGTTGGGAATTGTACCCATTCTTCCCGGCCCATTTCGGGCGTCAGCGACGAGGCGGCGGGCCCCAGCCTCGGCGGCGGCGGCCGCGCCCCCCGGCGGGGCCGCCGCCGCCGCCACGGGCCCGGCGCTATGCGCCGCCGCCGCAGCCTCGTAGGGCGGCGGGGCCCGCGGCGCCGGGGGCGGCAGGCGCAGGAGAGGGGCGGGCTCGGCCGTGGCGGCGGCGGCCTCGTCGGGCGTCGGCGCCCGCGCGCGCGCAGGAGGAGCGCTCGGCGAGCTCCCCCTCCTCCTCCGCCTCTCCTCCTCCTCCTTCCTCCTCCCTCCTCCCTCATCCTCCATCTCTCCCCCCCTCCTCCCCCTCCTCCTCCCCCTCCTCCTCCATCATCATCCTCCCATCTGCTCCTCCTCCTCCTCCTCCTCCTCCTGGTCCCCCTCCTCCTCGTCGTCGTCCTCCTCCTCCTCCTGCACCTCATTCTCCATTGTGATCATGCTGTTCCTCTGGGGACGCTCTTGGGAGCCCTCCTCCTGGGACCTCATTCTCCATTGTGATCATGCTGTTCCTCTGGGGACGCTCTTGGGAGCCCTCCTCCTCCTCCTCCTCCTCCTGGTCCCCCTCCTCCTCGTCGTCGTCCTCCTCCTCCTCCTGCACCTCATTCTCCATTGTGATCATGCTGTTCCTCTGGGGACGCTCTTGGGAGCCCTTTGGGAGCCTCGTGGGGTCCTCTTGGGCGCTGCCCCCCTCCCCCTTGGCTCCTCTGGGGCCGCTTTTGAAGGCATCTCGGGCCGTCCTTGGGGCCTTCTTGGGCCAGGTTCGGGGCCGTTTGGGGGGCGCTGCCCCCTCCTCCTCACTTCCCCGAGCTCGTCTGGGGGCACTCTCGAGGGCCTCATGGTCAGTCTTTGGGGCCTTCTTGAGCTATCTTCGGGCCCCTCTGGGGCGCTGTACCCTCCTCCTCCTCCTCCTCCTCCTCCTCCACCGCCTCCTCCTCCTGCACCTCATTATTCATGGAAAGCGTTCCTTTATGTTCGGCGATGACGAGCGTCATAGGGGGGGGGGAGCGGGGGGGAGGTATGACGTAACGCCCCCCCCCCCTCCGCGTGGCTCCGGCACCACAACCGCGCCCGCGCGCACGACGCGACGAGCGACGAGCGACGAGCGACGACGACGACGACGACGACGACGACGACGACGACGACGCGAGCAGCATGTAGGTGGCGATCTGCCCCCATGCGCCTGTGTACACCACAACGCTCGCATGCACCACAGCGCGCGTGTACACCAGTGCCTGCGTACATCGCAACAACGGTGTGCAACGCAGCGCCTGTGTACACTGCAGTGCTTGCGTACGTACACTACAGCGCCGGTGTACATGTGCACACCGGAGGCAACCATGTGCAACACAGCGCCTGCGTACACCACAATACTTGCGTGCACCGCGGCGCCTGTGCACGCCACAGCGCTTGTCTACACCACGACATCCGCGTGCAACGCAGCGCTATTGTACACCACAGCGCCTGCGTGCATAGAGCGGGTAGAAGGAGCCTGTACGTGAGGATGTGCTGCGGAAGCGCCACGCCAGGAAAGTGCTGATAATCGAATGCGACGTGTTTCCCTCTTCCCTTCTCCTCCACTTCCACCTCCTCCTCCTCCTCCTCCTCCTCCTCCTCTTCCTTTGTCTCTTCTTCCTCCTCCTCCTCCTCCTCCTCCTCCTCCTCCTCCTCCTCCTCTTCTTTACCCCCTGTCGTGCGGGTTGGCGCTACAGCACACGTGCGCCACTCAGCTTGCACAGCACAATTGTCTATTGAATCGGCTCACTTGGTTCTCGGACGGCCAATTTAGCTGGAGCCTCCTGGACACAGATGGGAAGAGTTACGGCGATGCGAGCGAACTCGGAAGGACTCGTAGATTCCCCTGGCGTTCCCTTGTCCCATAAGGATTATTGTCTGGTGTTTTCGGTGGATTCCACAAACTCTCCATTTTGTCATAACGATTTCTTCTAACATTCTACATGCAACAGTGGTGCTGTGTTGCACACGGTTGCTGTGGTGCACACAAGCGCCGTGGTGCACACAGGCACTGCAATGCAAACAGGCATTGTGGTTTACACCGCTGTGTTGCACACGACTGATGTGGTGTACGCAGGCGCTGTGGTGTACACAAGAGCTGTTGCGCCCGCGCGCGCGGTGGCACAAACTGACGCTGTGTTGTACGCGGCTGCTGTGGTGTACGTAGGCGGTGTGGTGTACACAGGCGCTGTGGTGCACGCAGGCACTGAGGTGTACACAGGCGTTGTGGTGCAGATCGCCAACTACATGCTGGTGCCACCCGGCCTCCGTCACTCCGAAGCATTCCTGGCGCCGCTGGCGCGAAGCGTGACGTCATCGACCCCCTCCACCCCTTCCAGATGATTGCCGTCATCGGCCCGGAATTGAAAAACAAGCTCCAGCCGCGTCCGCGCGCACGACGACGATGAGCGACGAGCGACGAACCACGAGCCACGAGCGACGACGTCGACGACGACGTCGACGACTGCGGACCAGACTCCTATGCGGATTCCTACGCGGACACCTGCGCGGATCCCAATACGCACGGCGGCAGTGCCTGGAGCGCACGGGGGGGGGGGGGGGGAAGCATTACGTCATACGGGGGGGGGCGGGGGCCATGACGCCCGTCATGCCCCAAGCAATAAAGAAGTGGTCTCATGGTCCATGGTGGTCGCCCTCCTCGCGGCCAGGCGGGCGGCCCCTCCCCCCCGTGCAGAGCGCACGCCCTACTGCTGGCCGCCCTCCTCCCTCCGTGCTCCTCTGGGCTCCTCTGCGCATCGAGCTGCTGCCGCGGAGCAGCGGCCCGCGCTGAAACGAGCGCCCGTTGGACTGTCGCAGCTTTCGCAGGATCGGTGCTCTCCTCTGGCCCTCGAGGTTCGCTTCAGCCTTGGAAGCGCTCGCCGGCAGCAGCGCGTACACATAGGAGCACGGCCTCATGGCCATGCCGCCGTCCCGGCCACCACCCCTTCCTCCTCCCAGCCAGCTCGGCTGCCGCTTCTCTTGGGAGATGCACCCGACCGGGGCCCCAGGACACACAAATAAATACACACAAATAAAAAGAGTCCCCATATTTTCATACATTTTCTGGGTTTCTGTCTTCCCCCCACTTCCCATATTTTCCCATACTTTCTGGGGAGAGGATTAATTGTGTCTGTGTGTTTTTTTCCCCTCCTGAATCCAGATGTGATCTTGACTGGCGCCTCCGAGAAGGACGGAGCCGAGCCTCTCCCGGCCCACCTGCTCCTTCCCCCCTCCGCTGCTCGCTCCTCTGCTCCCTCCGGCTGAGAGGCGCCCCCGTTCCCCGCGGAGCAGGGGGGGGGCGAGGGGGATATATGATCCAGGGTCGAGGGCCCATAGTCCCAGAGACGACGACGACGACGACGACGACGACGACGACGACGACGACGGCGACGACGACGACGACGGCGACGACGACGACCACGACGACGGCCCAATGGCATCAGCATTGGAGGGGGGGGGGGGGCCAAGCCCTGGACCATATATGGGGGAGGAGCGGAGGGGGAGAGGCAAGCTAGGTGCGCTCGCGTCATATCTGACGTCCTACCCCTCCCTCCCATCCCTTACCATGGCGCTGATTTTCTCTATCCGCGGACGCGTGTCGTAGCGGACCTGTGGCTCCGCGCGCGCGTGCGTAGTGGGTGGTGGTGCGCGTGCGTGCGTGCGTGCGTGTGTGCGTGGTGGTGGTGGTGGTGGTGCTGGTGGTGGTGGTGGTGGTGGTGGTGGTGCTGGGGGGTGGTGCTGGTGCTGGTGCTGTGCTGGTGCTGGTGCTGGTGCTGGTGCTGGTGTGGTGGTGGTGCTGGTGGGGTGGTGGTGGTGGTGGTGGTGGTGTTGGTGGTGGTGGTGGTGGTGGTGGGTGGTGGTGGTGGTGGTGGTGCGGCGCGGTGGTGGCGGGCGGATGGGCGCGCGAGAAAGAGGCCCGCGCTGGGGCGAGAACGCCATCCTCAACGACGGAGGCCAAACACCGATCCGAAAATGAGGCCCACGCTGGAGCGGGAGCACGATTCGGAACGATTCGGGAGCAGAAATGAGGCCGGCGCCTCAGCGAGAGCAGCATTTTAGAAAAAAACACAAGCGAAAACCCAACTCCGGGGAATCCTGTGTGTAAAAAAACAGTACGCGGGGGGGTGCCGAATATCTTCCGGACGCCATCAGGGGAAGTGGGAGAGTATTTTCATATTGTGTAATTGTGGAGGGGGGAGGAGGGGGAGGGACGGGGAGCGGAAAAAGAGGGGGAGAGCAGAGAGGAAGCCCCAGGGGGGGGGGGGATGAGGCTTAAGTCGGGCGTGTCCCCCTACAGGGGGATTTTCGACGAAACATAAAAAAGAAAAAAGACTCAAACCATATTCAAAAGATGCAAAACATACTCAAAAAATAATTCCCCTGATTATTTTTTAAACTATGTTTGAATGTTCCCCCTGTAGAGGGACAGGCCCGACTTCATCCGAGCCTCGGGTTCCAGGGGGAAGCGTCTCGCATTGCGACAGACTCGCGGCGCGCGCGCGAGGGGGGGCAGAAGGGGGAGGAGGGGAGGCTTCTTAGCAGCAGGCTGCTTCTTGGGAGGGCGCCGGCGGCCCTACATCTGAAGGTGAGGCCCGCGCCTTCTGAGAAGCAGGGGTGCTTCTAAGAAGCCGCCCCCCCTCCCCCGAACTACCCCGCATCTGCACGTGGCCGAACCGAGCTCCGCTGGAGGAGCACGGCGGGGGCGCCGGAACGCCGAAGCTCGGAGGTTGCTCACGAGGCCCCCGCCTTTGTGCGATCCAGGCTGCCGATCACGGCCGCGATCCGTGCATTGGGGTATGAGGAGGAGAAGGAAGGAGGACCAGCCCTGCGGCCGTTCGGGGCGACCCAGGAAGCTCTCGCCGAGGCGCAGCTGCAGCGGAGCGAGAAGCCATACGCGGTCCCCGCGTCCTGGAAGTCCATACGCGGTCCCCGAAGTTCCGACTCTTTCCCCAGGGTCGGATTTCATCCAGGGCCTGGCGAGGGACCCCAGAGGCTGAATGTAGAACAACTGTCTATCTTTGTTTCCCCCAAACAAATGTTTGCGCTTCATGGGGCCTACTTTTCATCTGAGGTGACTGCGCCGTCCGTCGCCGCTGTCGCCGCCCGTCGCCGCCATCCGTTACCGCCACTTGCGCCGCGTTGCTTTGCGTTGCTTTGCATTAATTTGCATTGCAAAGCTGGTTTTGCATCGCATTGCATTGTTTTGCATGGCTTTGCATCGCATGGCATGGCTTGCATTGCGGTGCATGACTCTGCATGGTTTTGTGTTGGTTCGCATTGCTTCGCATTGCTTTGCATCGCTTTGAATTCCTTTCTATTGTGTTGCACCGCATTGGGTTGCTTTCCGCTGCTTTGCGTTGCGTGCCTCATCTTGCGTTGCTGTGCACGGCTTTGCATAGAGTCGTATTGCGTTGCTTTACTCTGCATCCCATCACGTTGTTTTGCAGTGAGTTGCATTGCGTTGCATTGCTTCGCGTTGCTTTGCATCGCATTGCACGTTTCGATTGCATTCCTTTGCTTTAGTAGGTATCTTTACATTCGCTTGCATTGCTTTGCGTTGCTTTGCATCGCACTGCATTGCTTCGCACCACGTTTGTAGAGAGTACCACATGGATTGCACCACCTAGGTCGCACCACACGGATTGCACGACCCAGGTGGCACCGCATGTGGATGGCAAGACGTCGATCTTTGGGGGCCCGCGCTGGTAAGCATGAGAACTACGTTGGAGGTCTGGGGTGGACGCCATCACGAGGTGATATCCAGGGTCACTTGCCACCCGAACTCGAGCTGCCTGTTGAGCTCGGGTGAGCGCCTTAGGCCACAACCCACGCTCCAACCGTCTGAGATATTCTCTTCGGGTGGGGGTCAGCAGCCCAGTGCAAGACGCTTTAAGATCTTGGGAAAGGAGCTCGTTACAGAAGCAGCCCGTTGGAGGTCTGGGGTGGAGGGAGGACGAGGGGGAGACTTCCCCCCCTCCCCCCGAGGGGGGCCTTGGGCGCCGTGGCGAGCACCTCCCGCCACGACAGGAGCTCGTGGCCGCCGGCCTCGCGCGGCGCCGCCTCCCTCTGCGCTCTCGTCGGCACTGGCTCCCTCCTCTCGCGGGGCTGCCGCCTCCGCTGTCCTGGCCTCGCGGGTCCCTCCCCGCGGGCTGGGAAAGATGAAGAGGCCCACGGACACACGAACACACGGGCACACATTCCAGGATCCCCGGATCCTCTCCCACACTTTCAGGGCTTCCGTCTTCCCCCCTGCTCTCCATACTTTCCTGGGGGTGGCCAAAGAATTGTGTCAGTGTGCTTTGCTGCCTCCTCTTGGGAAGGCTGTCTCTGTAGCTCTGACGCCATACTACGTCGGACCACCGGTGGCTCGGCACCCTCGGCCCGCACGCCAGCGGCCTTGGGCCCTCCCTCTGGCGTCGATGCCCGCCCCGCTCTGCCGTCGCCGCGTCCGCGGCACGCCTGCGGACGTATCCCGTTGCCGTCTTGATCTTCTGTCGGCTACACGCAAAGATAACCCTGGGTAAGGGTGACCTTTGGTGCGCGGCTTTGTGGGGGCCGCGGGGAGACCAAACCTGGGCGCGCAAGCCGCTGCTACCGCTTCGTTTTCAGCCCGTACCAAAGGTCACTCCGGCGAAAGGTCACTCTTACGTCTAGTCGGTTCCGGGGCGGGAATTCCTGCCCTGCCTTTTCGCGTCGGCCGGGACGCATCTCCGACAGACATGCCAGACGCGGAACATCAATCGGCCAACGCACGGAGGATCCAAAGTCGGGGCCGGGGGGGCGCGGCAGGTCACCAGCAGCGGCGGCGGCAGCGGCGGCGGCAGCGGCGGCGGCGATGGCATCCTCCGTGGCGGCGGCTGTGGCAGCGGCGGCGGCAACTGCGGCAGCGACGGCGGCGGCGACGACGGCGGCAACTGCGGCAGCGACGGCAGCGGCGACGACGGCGGCGGCGGCAGCAGCGGCGGCAGCAATGGCGCCGGAGGCTGCGGCACGAGGCGGCGGCAGCGGCGGTGGGAGCTTCCCGCACCTCGGGGCACGAGCAGCCGCGGCGGCAGCGACGGACGCGGGCGCGCGGGACCGAGTGGCCCGCCGCGGGCTGGGCGCTCTTCTCCGTCTGGCGTCGCTGGCGCTTGCCTGGGCGCACCCTCTCCGTGGATTTCAAGGACCAAACAATGACAGAAGCATGGAAGCTCGGAGGTCCGCGCGAAATTCTCGAATCCGCGCTGGACTCCCCTGGCGGCGCCTCCAGCGCCGCCCCTGGCGCGCTCCGCGCGCCAGGGAGGGGGGTCCAGCGCCGATCCGAGAAATCCGCGCGGACATCCGAATTGTTTATGTCATTCATCGTTCCCCTCGTTGATCATGACCTCTTCCGTGTCCCCAGCCTCCTCGATCGCCAAATGCCGCGACCGCGCAGCTGGCCCAAGGGCCACCATAGTACCAGGTGTTTTCTCAGCAAGAAGACGAGGGCCTTCTCCGAAGACGCCGGCGGGACTTCTCAGAAGCACCCGCGCCTTCTGAGAAGTACCCTATGTGATCGGGGAAGGCTTGGAAAACTTCGCAGAAGGCCTGGGGACTTCCGAGCCTTCTGAGAAGGCCTTTCCCCTGTCATTTCCCCCCCCTGGGCTGGCCGTCGGTTCTTTACACCACTCAAACATCCTTGAAACAACTGCCACGTCAAGGATGTGTCGACGAAATGCGCTGGCCATTCAAAGTGATCACTTCTCGGTGGTATGCCAGGGCATCAGCGTAAGCGGACTGCCTTGCACCAGAAACAAGACGAAGACGATAAGGCGGACTTGGACTGCAGATTCTCGCGCCCCCACCCCTACGCGTCAATCTGGTGGTGGGTTCGCTGTGCCACTGAATGCCTGTAGGAAGGAGGACGCAGACGATCAGAAAGATGAGGAGAATGAGGACGAGGAGAGGGCAACGCGGTTGCCAAAAACGGCTGTCACGCGCATCGGCTGCATGATCCCCTGGCCCATGTCAGAAGTACAAAAGCACCAGCCACTAATAGAGCAGGGGGGAGGGGGAGCAGAAACCTCCAGCGAACTGGGAATACCAAACACACCAGCTCAGGTTACGTAGGCGTACAAGTGGCAACCCCAGACAAAACAAACACGCACCATGCCACAGTGAACACGCCCGCGGATGCGGACAGATGACACAGCTTGCATTCATCGCGGGGCAACGCGTGAAAACAACATGATCCTCGTTGCTACCGCGCCAGACGCGTTGGAGGAGGAGGAGGAGGAGGAGGAGGAGGAGGAGCAAGAAGGACAGAAATCGGCGAGTGCCGTCAAATCGCGGCGGTGTTCGGTGTAGAAGCGCACTCCAGCGGCTTGTGCATCATCGCCGAGCGGGCTTGTGCATCATCGCCGAGCGGTCCCCGCGAGGGGGGCCGGCTCCATGCCCCGTGCAGCCGACTCCTGCCAGCACGCCCTGGCCGTGCAAACGACACGCAAGCGCCAATCAAGCGCCAGGGTGCCCACGCACCCTTGGCCTCCCAAGGAAGGAACACGGAAGGGGAGAGAGAGGCGGAAGAACGATAGAGAGAGAGAGAGAGAAAAACAAAACAAAGGAGAGAGAGAGAGAGAGAGAGAGAGACACACACAAGACTACCTCTCCAGAATGGGCTGGCATGCCCCGAAATGCCACGCCCGAAACGCCGATGCGACTTGCCAATAACTTCGTACCAGCCAAAAGCCGAGAACGATTGTGAGACAAGAGGGCGGCTCATAGAAAAGGAACGAGAAGGGGAGAATAAGTAATGACATCATTCAAACGCGAATGCAACTCTGGATAAGAGCACGCCGTAACTACCTCTGCCAACGTTGTCCGACGCACGCGACCGCTGAGCAGCCGCCAGTACTGGCCAGCCATGCAGCCGGCATGCAGCTGCCATGACTGGCTCAAACGCCACCAAGCGCGCGGCTAGCGCCACTTAGCTGCCAGCCGCATCGGCCCGCACGCACGACGGCACCACCTGCTGCTCTGGCTGCGCGGCCGAAGTACGGGCCAAGTAGCAAGCAGGCCGGGCGCCGGCGCCTGTGTAGGAGGCGGGGGAAGGGCAGGAGGCGGGGGAGTAGGGGGGAGGAAAGAGCACCCAGAAAATCACGCGTTGCATAGAAAGGCCTGGCCAAGACACGAAGGGCAACAATGGCAGCACGAAGCAGCAGTTCCGCTTGTGCCGAAGCACGAAGCACGAAGCAGCAACAATGTCCACCTTTCGTCGAGAACGGCCGTGGCCCCGCGATGTCCCTGGACAGCTTCCTAGGCGGCCTGCTCCAATGCTCGGCTGACCGTTTCTTCACCACGCAATTCCGCTGGGCGAGAGCGGCAGTGCAAATAGAACGCCGCGGCCACCTGCAGGATACACAGTGTCAGGCGAGCGTCTGTGAGCTCCGACGGCGGCCCCAGCAGCAAGAGAGAGAGCCGCCGCGGCCCAACCTCCGAAACGTACGGGGGGCGTAAGTGTCTGATACCAAACTGGCCCAGGCACCGCGTATTGAAGCGTGTTCCACCGAGTCGCTGTCCTCCATCTTGCGCGACCAGGCACCAAGACCGTGAGCCGCCGGAGCGTCGCAACGGCACGTTGCGCACGCAACCGGGGATACCAGCGGAACGGCACAAGACCCAAGCTGTGATCGCATGCGTCTTTCAGGGTCGCGCTCGCCCCTCGCCTGCAATATGCCATAGATACTTCGCTGAAGTCCTGTGACCGATCGACGCTCGTGCGCCTGCGTCCAAGGCCGCATGGTGCTCTCCGCTGCAGACTGCAGAGACGATCGGATGGCAAAACGACCTCTCGAACCATGCCGACCATCTCGCCTGACGCACTGCATGCGGCGACGCTGCTTCCGCGGCCACCCGCCGGCAGAGCCAGGCGCGACGCTGCAGACCACCCTGGACGCGAGCTAACCGACACAAGACACGGAACTTCGCCGCCAGGGAGACGCAGTGCAGGTTGACGAGCTCCCGCAGAACGCCGGGATACTCGGCGCAAGCCGCGCAGATCGGAGGCCGCGCGCAGATGGGAAGGGCCAGGCACCCACACACGGCATAGGCGCGCCGCAGCAGCGGGCCAACTGTCGGGCAACTCGTCCAGCTGCAGCATGAGACCCAAAGCGGATGCGATACAAGCACGGTGGACCACTGCGGCAAGCGGCAGCACGAGCGCGACAGTCTTCCACAGGTGGGCACGCGCCAGGGCTTTCCCCAAAAGCCGCGCCAAAGCTTCGATCCCCACGGCTGGGGCCAAGAACGAAGCCGAGATATTTGGCCCAGCTCCGGCACTGTACGAATCTTGATCATTGAACTGTTGAGGTTGCTTTACATGTATCGTAATGTTCCAGAACTCAACCCTGGAGACGTAACAAATCTTTACAACATGTGCTATCGAATTCGTTCAGAAGTCCCTGCGCGTGGGCCGCCCCTCTTGGGGAAGTCGGATGGGGGAGTCCCATGGGGGAGTCCGATGGGGGAGTCCTATGGGGGGGTCCCACGGCTGGGTCCTGAGGAGGGTCCTGTGGGGGAGTCCCATGGGTGAGTCCACTGGGGGGGTCCTCTGGGGGAATCCGAGTCCTACGGGGGAGTCCCATCGGTGGGTCCTGCGGGGCAATCCCCAGGGGGAACTCGAAGGGAGAGTGCCATGGGGAGCTTTACGGGGGAATCCTACTGGAGCGTCTTATGGAGGAGTCTCATGAGGGAGTCCTATGTTGGAGCCCTATGGGGAGGCGAGGGAAACATCAGCAAAACCATATAACATGTTTCTTTGCTTGCAACAAATGCGTCTTCAGGGCTTAGGAGAACAATGAGGAACGCCTTTGACCTTTTAACACATCAAAGTGTATGCTTACACTGCCTTAAAATGCTTGCGGCGCAAAATGACCAAACACAAAGTTTGCGATGCGCCCCCGACATGTCCTGGCGAAAACGGATATATGTATATATCTATATATATACACGTCTATACTTATATATATATATATACACATATATATATATATATATATATATATATATATATATCATTGGCAACATGAGAGCGCAGCGGCTGTGATGATGCATCGGGAAAGTGAGTAAAGATATCAAACACACCTTGGCTATACAAAGGTGAGGGGATCAGAGAAGACAGCCTACCGCTGGTGGGCAGACTGCTTCTGAGCATGGCCAGAACCTTCAATGTCAAGCAATTGTTGATCAGTGAGAGGCGTGAGTTCACACATCCGTGCTGTGCAGCGCGGCGCGCGATGACCGAGGTGCTCAATGGCAGCAGCACGGGAAGCGAATTGCTTCAAGCAGACTGGGCATTGCGAGCCTGCGACATATTTTCGTGCCGGGGTCCGATACCCATGCATCTTGTAGGCATGGGACATCAAACCTTTATGGGTGGAGCAGCACCGACGCCGCTCGGGAGGGCAGTCGGGGCAGACCCAAGGAGCTTCAGCAGGCACGGGGTCTGCATGGACATTGATGTAAGTGGGCACGCAAACTCGCGGATGGAGGCGCGCGCAATCAGGCATCACGTCACGCAAAGCCCGCTTCAATTGAGAAGGCTCGGCAAAAAGGGCGAGCCAGGGGCCAGGCTCGGTGCATGGGTCTGGCATGCCGCGCAGGGCAGGGGCAGCCTGCCACGCCCAACTCAGATCGTCGGCCAGAGCTGCCGAAGCATTCGTGCCCGGCTGCAGCCGGAGCGCACGTAAAATAGCGGGGCCACGCGCGTAAGTGGTAGCAGCAGCCACTAATCGCTTCTGCAAGAGGATCAGGTCCGTGGGCAACACGTGCAACTCCCTTAGCACCTCCCGGCCCGAGCCGTGTCCGGACCGCTTGAACCGGCAGCGGTTGGCCACCTGACGAAGCACGCGCATGCGAGCGCTGTGAAGATGCCGAACGGCGTCGGGAGAAGGGTTCAGCCATGTCTCGGTGCCGAACCACAGCTTCGAGAAGCAGAGCGAATCTGCGAGGGAGAGCCTCGTGCGCAGATCTATGTCGTAGTTGCCGTAGACGCGGTGCGCCAGAGGGTAATAGGCCTGCAAACAGGAAGTGGCCTTAGCACGCGCATCGGCGACGTAGGAGCCGTTCACTGTGCGGACTGTGCCCGCGTGCTTGTAGCGGTTCGTCACAACCACTGCTCGGGAGGCGTCCGGCGTGCGCAGCATGTGACGCTTGAGCTCGGGGTCATACAGGGAGGAGCGTACTCGGCGAGATTCTTTGCCTACCAGGTGCAAGAAGACTTCCGTTTTGCCCTCCTTCAGGTCGCACTGGAGGCCGCACTCGGCGAATGCGTCGATGACGATCTCCAGCAGCATGCTGGCCTGCATGGAGGCCAGAGCAGGGCTGGCACACATCAACATGAAGAGGACGTCATCCACGAATGCGATGTCGAAGAGGTCCGCAGAAACGCCCGGGTAGGGCGCAGCGGTCGGACTCGCTGGGAGGGCTTCAGGAGAGATGCGCCAAGGGCACTGGCCTGCAGCAGCATCGACGAGAAGTACGAGACCAGCATCGCGAGCCCGCTGTCGGACCTTCTTCAGAGCATACTCGTAAATCACGTTGAAAATTAAAGCCCCAATCTTGCAACCCTGCCTCGCGCCCTTGGTGGTGCGAACGACCATGGCGTCCGGTTTCATCACGCCCTTCTGCACGGTGAGCCACGTGTTCGCGTGCATGTCGGCGACCAGGGCAGCCGCGTCAGCAGGAACACCGGCGGCGCGCAGAAGATTACCATGCGTCTGGATAAATTCGGTCACCTGCTCCTGCACGGCCATGGGGAAGTCCGCACCACTCAGCGCGGCACGAACACGATCAGGGTCGTCAGTAGGTTGAACCATCGCCAACTCTCGACAAATCGTGTCAAAGGCAGCGGTCAGGTCGACGAAGAGACGGACGAAGCATTGCCGACGGGAGCGGCACATGTCGGCGTGCAGCTCGGCAGTGAGCCCGGCGGCAGCCGTCCCGCGGCCTGCGATGGCACCGCACTGCGTGTCGGCGACGGCGCGGGGGCAGTGAGGTTCTATTGCGTCCTTCAGCGTGGCCCCGTGCACCTTGCCCGCGTGGGTCTGGATGAGGAGACCGCGACTGTTCGCAGTGTCGGTGCGCTCGCCCTTGCGTTTCCACAGATCCTGCATGCGGCCGCCCTTCATGAGAGTGGGGGCCTTGCAATGCGCGCGGGTGGAGTTGAGGACAGCCTGCATGAGCAATGCGGCCGGCTCACCGCCTGCCTTCCATACAGCAGGGCCCACACCATCAGGCCCAGTGGCCTTGCGCCCCTTGGAAACCCGAAGGAGGGACTCGACGTAGTCGAGCGACAACGGCGGTGCACGCGGAACGTCAGGTGCAACAGATTCGGCGGAGTCGGCAACCAACAACTCGGAGAACGGGAGGGTGCTGCCAGCGAGGTGCTGGCACCAGTGCTCAGTCCACCGCTGGTCGATGCCCAAGTCGTCGGTCAGAAGGTTGCCACTGGCGTCCTTGACCGCGCGATGAGGTCGGTCGTGGCCAGTGCGTAGGCGACGAGCGAGTGCATGCAGAGCTCCAGAATCATGAACAGCAGCGGCCTGCTCGGCTTCGACGGCGATCGAAGCAGCCCAGAAGTCGAAATCCTGGGAGATAGACTGCTTGACCTGCTTGCGATGTGCACGAATAGCGGCTGTAGCAACAGCTTCGGCACGGCGGAGGCGAGGAAAGGACTCGCAACCTCGATGATTATACGCAGGACCAGGGACAGGGGCAGGGAGGGCCCGGCATGGGTGAGAACACGTACAGCGTCTCCAAGAAGAAGGCCGCGGAACCCGTCGTGTAGCGCGGCACCACCACGCCCATAGACACGTGAGCGTCTGCTGCCGGAGCGCCCGGCGAGCGCGGTGAAGCGTGGTCCGCAACGGAGGTGTCGCACTGGCCAGCATCGCTGTAGTTGGAGACGTCCAAGGTCGCCGTGGCTCGTCGGGAGCGGCAGTGACGGAGAAGCAGGTGTCTTGGGCGTCGCGCATGAGGGCCACGACCCGGTCGTGGAGAGCTTCGGGGTCCGCTGGGCCAGCGAGAACACGAGCAAGACGTTCCCAGAGGTACCGCTGGAAACGAAGCTGGCGCTCAGGGTCGGCTATCAAAGAACGGCTCAGCCGGGCTGAAGCCGGATGGTGGCACTGCTTCCCCCCCCTTGCAGGGCAGGGCACAAGGAACTCGGCGTAAGTGAGCAAGTGGTCGATCGAGTTCTTGCCGCTGAGATGCACGCTGTGGTCGACGCCCGCCTGGACGAAGTAGTCAGCAACGTCCATGGAAGCGGCCACGTAGTCGTTACGACGGCCCTCGTGCTGCACGAGACCTCCGAACCACGTTGGGAGGACCTCGGGTGTGGCCATTGAGGACAGGACCAACACGGCCTCCTCCGTGGCTTCCCGCAAACACCTGCCGTTGTTGTTCTCGGCCGTACCGTCTGGAAACGGGATGGCCGAAGACGGGATGGAGCCGAGCGTGGCGTTACCATCGATGGAGAGAAACACCATGCGTGCAGGCGGAATGGCATGCAAGGCGGCCTTGAGGGAGTCCCAGAAGGCCGACCTGTCGGCATCAGAAGCTTGTTGAACAGGTGCGTGGGCAACCGCATGTGTGAAAGAACACTGTGAACTATCAAGCCTCACCACCAATAGTCGGGGAGAGATGGCCTGAGGCTGCACACGGGCACCCAGAACGAGGGAGCGCGCCATCCAAGATTCAACTCCGAAGTGTCCCTCTGGCGTGGCGCCAGAAGTGTAGACGACGTACTGGGTTTGCTCCCGGGTGACGTCGCCACCCACACAAGACTCTTGCACGCCAATGATGTTGTAGCCAGCGGCGGCGAGAGCACCGTCCAGGTACTCCATCTTGCTACTAGTGTTCAGGCCAAGCTTCTTGGCGCGACGAACACCAGCAGGATCCAACGTCTTGACGTTCGCTGAAGCGACCTTGAATGCCAAGAGTGCCCCAGCGTCGTCGTCGAGGCCGTGCTGTCGTGGTGACGTCGGCGGCGGCGTCGGAGTCGGTGTCGTAACGGCGTCGGCGTCGCGTTGTCGTGACGGCGGCGGCGGCAGTATCGATGTCGTAACGGCGTCGTCGTCGTGCTGCCGTGGTGACGTCGGCGGCGGCGTCGGAGTCGGTGTCGTAACGGCGTCGGCGTCGCGCTGTCGTAATGACGTCAGCGGCGGTGTCGGTGTCGTAACGGCGCCGGCGCCGAGCTGTCGTAACGGCGGCGGCGGCGGTATCGATGTCGTAACGGCGTCGTCGTCGAGCTGTCGTGGTGACGTCGGCGGCGGCGTCGGAGTCGCGGCGGCGCCGGCGCCAGGGCGCGGCGGCGGCGCGAAGTGGAGCCCCGCGTGAGCGGCCTGGCTCATAGGTCCGCGCTCTGGCCGCGGCTCCGGGAGCGGCGAGGCGCCTGGCGAGTGCGAGGACGCCGGAAGACATCGTCCGGGACCTCCTTGGGAGGCTGTTTGCCATTCTGCCGGACCCGGTGCGAGGGGACAGAGGGCTCGGGCAGCGACGTCGGGAGCGGATGCTTCCCAACGTGGCGGTAGGGCGGGCGGCCCTCCGCAAGGCCCGCAACCTTCTCCTGGTGGGCGTGGCAGTCCTTCGCATGCTGAAAAACCGACTGGAAGCCGGCAAAGAGGTCGTGGACGTGCTTCTCCGCATTCGCGATGTGCGTGGCATGGACGCCGGGGTCGGACTTGAGCGCGCCGATCAGCTGATGCAACTGCGCCTGAATCGACGTCATGAGATCCGTGTTGTCGAGGGGCGAGACCTGGGACTCCAGGGCAGCAACCGCCTCCTTCGCCGAAGCCTCCTCCGCCTCGGCGGTATCGCGGAGGAGCGTGGCAGCAGCCAAGGCCTTGTCGGCCTCCTCGCGCCGCGCCGACGCACGCTGGAGGGCCTGGCGGGCACCATCCAGCTTCGCACCAAGCGGCTTGAGGGCAGAGATCTCGGCCTTCACATCGGAGATCTGCTGCGTGAGTCGCGCATGCTCTGGGTCGGCCGTGTCGTCCTTGTAGATCTCGAGGGCGGCCTCGTAGCGCTTGAGCCTCTTGACAAGCTCGGGCCGCGTCGGGGCGGAAGCCGGGGCCGCGGCATCCGGGGGGGCAGCAGGCGCACCCGCCCTGGGAGCCGCGACACGCGCCTGGACATCGGCCAGCGTCGACTGGAGCGACTGGGTGATCTGGTCGAGCTGGGCGCGGGTAGACGGCTTCGGCGGAGGCGCGGACGCCGCCGGATCGGCCGAAGCAGCGACAGCAGCATAGCTGCGCCGGAGGCCGCACACGGAGCAGGTCTTCGGCGAGTGGTTGGTGGAGTGGCAGTGCGAGCACTGCCAGGTACGCGATTGCTGCTGCACGGAGGCGTCGTGTCCCCGATTGCCCTGCGCATTGCCGGGCCCGATGTAGTGCCAGCGGCCGGACGGGTCCTTCTTCCACTCGTGCGAGTTCCCCGAGGACGCCGAACCCGAGCCACTGCCACCATAGCCGCCACCGCCCGCGCGGTTGGGCGCGCTCCATGCCGGCATGAGCGCAGGTCAGCTGACCTGGCAGGTACGAGAAAACGAAGCCACACACTGGTGCAGCTGGGCTGAGGTGTAGACTTACAATCAACTCAAGGGCCACTCCAGCGTGGCAGCCTTGAGCCAAAATGGCTACGGGTATATATATATATATGTATATATGGAAACCAGAATATTGTTGTGAACAGTCCTTGCATCGGGAAGCCTCGCCGACGCGCGCTCCCTGGGAGCGCTCCCTCGCGGAAGCCGGCCCGGCGCTCCCCCCGCAGGCGCGTTCCTGACGGGCGGCCGCTCCGACGCTCCCCCAGCGGGCGCGCCCCCGGTGAGCGGCCGTTCCGTCTTTCCCCTGGAGGCGCGCTCCCAAAAGACAACGCTCCATGGGGGCTGCCCCCCGGGGCCCCGCGCGCGGCCCGACGTGGCAATACCTCGCCATCGCTTGGACGTCCATTCCCTGTGTTTTTTTGGTTTCGTGCGTGGTTTTTTTCGCCAAATGATCAAGGATGCTCCTCATGATCATTGTCCTCGCCGAAGGAAAACTGCACACGTCCGAGCGATGCCAAGACACTGTCCAAGGGGGCAATCCGGGGCGCGTTCCCACTCGCGCGCGGCCGGGGCAAGCCTGGGCGACCTTGCGCCGCTGCGCGCACGCGCCGTCCGGGTCATCAGCAAGATGCGGGCCACGGAGCCGTCCCATGTGCTCCAAGGACTTCCGCATGAGACTCCCCGATGGGAGAGTGAAAAAAGATTGTGGCCAGCATCCAGGCGTGGCGGCCGCTCCTCTTCCTTTGCAAATTAAGGTGCAATCTTACAGCGCAGAACATTTCCGCGACCCCAAGGCGCATTCGCAACAACAGTATATTGGTCGTGTGCGAGCACACAAGTCGAATTTGAACATGATGCTGCGTACACGCCTATTTTTAGACGCACTGTTTTTTGAACAAAAACAAACAGCATTAAAACAGACACCTGGAATCTGTTTGGCACGATAGCTCCTCTCCATTGATCGTATTCCACAACGCGAGTCCCCATGCAGGGAAGCGGGCTGCTATCGTCCAACACCTCCTGGGGCGCACGGTCGCCTAGCGGCACGACGACCACCTGAAGGCTTCAGTCGCAAACCCAACGCCGCTGCGAATCTGCTAAAGAGAGGAACGAGCGAGATGAGCGCCTCGGCCACGTCGAGAAACACCATCACAATGTTGTCCGCGAAAGCCCGAACTGTCGCCGAAGGTAGTGTCCTGACCGATCTCCGCAGCAATGGATCGACTACAATGGCAAACGATACCAGCGACAGCGGACAACCCTGCCTGGTCCCAGTCCGAATCTGGAAGCCCTGATGTAATCGACCTCCGGCAGCAAGCTGACATCCATGCCCCCAGTATAGGCCATCGACACAGCTGCAATCCGACGTCAGCAGACTCAGCTGGCGCAGGGTGCGCGTCGATAAGTCGTGCGCGAGCCACGGGAACGCCGCTTGAAAGTCGTAAAGACCGCGGCGTGCGCTTCGCACTGCAGAGCAAGCTCGCGCATGGCTGCGCCAGCGTCGACTCCATTCTTCAACCATGGACGGCCCCGCCAAGAAGCCCTGGTGCATGCCGGAGATGGCCTTTTCCAAGAGAGGCTCGATCCGCAACCTCAGGGCCGTGGTTCACAAGCGGCTATCCGTGCTGACGATGCCGAGCGGCCTCACGTCCTCCGCCCTGGTGTTCGCCACCCTGGCAGCAGAGATCAGTGGCTCTCTTTTGGGGGGAAAAGAGAATCGCCTCGTTGAAAGCGCGGCGACCGCCGCGGCGCGCCCGCCTGCCTCGGACACGAGAAGATGCGCCACCTCGAACGGGGCGCTCTGCGACAGCTGGCCGAAGCGACGCCAGGTGGGGTACGGAAGGCCGTCTGGGCTTGGAGGGCCACCACTGGCACCATGGAGGAGGGGAGGGGCGTCTGTTCCCCACGGGGCTTCATGGCCAATTCGGCTCCCGGAGAGTCTTCCCCTGCCCCAGACTAGCACCATGGAGAAGGTGAGGGGCGTCTGTTCCCTACCGGGCTTCATGGCCAATTCGGCTCCTGGAGTGTCTCCTCCTCCCTATTCCTCCTTCCTCCCGTCCTCCTCCTCCCTGGTCCCCGCTGTGCCTTCTAGCCGAGGGGGCTGTTCCAGGACGCCCTCCTGGCTGATGTCTGGGGCAGGCACGGTGGTCCCTTCGGTGGCCTCTTCCCCAATCGCCTTCGTGGTGCCCCTGGGCCCCCTTCCTACTTCCCCCCCCGTTCCTGCTGCCCCGCTCTCCCGCCTCCGTGCTTGTTGTCCCTGACCGGCCAGTGCCGCACCGCCTGACGCGTCAGCAGAGCGGGCCAGACGATGCGCTTGAGAATTCACCACTGAAGGGGCCCACAAACACACAAATAAATATACACAAATAAAAATATTCCCCATATTTTCCCATATTTTCTGGGGTTTTGTCTTCCCGCCCAATTCCCATATTTTCCCATATTTTCTGGGGAGTCGACGATTAATTGTGCCTGTGTGTTTCTTTCCCTCCTGAACCACAACTTCTTAATCCTGAAGTCGATCATTCCCAACAGCGTGGCGGATAGAGGGCGGATGGTTTTCAGAATGCGCTCCTCGAACCTGCAGCGCGCGAACTCGTTCTTCGATTCCCAAAACAACTACGCGAAGGCAGGGCAGAGCGTTTTCAAAATGACTGTAGTCGGATATGCTCCCGGGAAGTACACGGGTGTATGGCGGTTCAGTGTTTCGAATGGGCTATGGAATGTCGGGCTCTTGATGCGTGATTTTGAAATTTGCAAGAGCACACGACACTAAGATGCAGGGTGGCTCCTCTTCAAAATGGGGCCATCGCTCGAGATGCGCCACGACTCTAAAACGGATGGGCAAGTTCGGCACAAGCGTGTTTCTGGCTTGTGGCGCGCGGTGCTGGTGGGGTTGTCTCACGGTTGCCCCTCAGTTGTCACGAGGCTGTCCCGCGGGTGCTCCGAGCGGCTGCCCCAATGGCTGCCTCGGTGCATTCATCTGCCGCCGTGTCGCGACGCACAAGCTGTAGCGTCTTCCGGTACTCTGGGTCATCAGCCCTCAGGAGCTGCTCAGGGGCGCGGCACAACATTCCCAGATTCTGCGGTTTGGCGCGCTCCTCCTGGCGCGTCTCTCGTGCAGTCTCCCGAGGTCAGGGGCCCAAAACGCGCCACGAGGGCCCCAAGAGGCCACCGAGATAGTCCAAGAGGAGAGGGCTCCGAGACGACCCGAGAGCGCTTCAAGACACCTCACGATAGCCTCAAGATGGCCCAAGAGGGTACTGAGAGAATCCGAGGGGCACCAAGGCGCAAACATATCATATATGATCTTGAGTTTGGGCGTTTGAAGGTCTCGATGTTCAAGCCTTTCCACCGGTCGAAGTCGGCCCAAGAGGCTCCTCCTCCTCCCCCTCCTCCTCCTCCCACTCCTCCTCTTCCTTCTGCAACCCCACCCCCCAACACGTGTGCTCCAGAGGAGGGGAAGGGGGGAGGGGTGGAGGAAGGTGGGAGGACTTACTCCAAAATTCTGTTAGGGTCTCGAGAAATCTCCCAGGACCTCCAGAAGCATCTGTCGGCTCTCAGAAGGCCTCCCTCGGCCCGACGCGTTGGAACAAATCAGCGGCAAACAAAAGAAACGCCCTCACTCAGCATCTAACGGGGACTGTGACGATGATGGCGACGACAACGACACCGACTACGGCGACGACGGACACGACGACGACGACGACGACGACGACAACGACGACGACGACGACGACGACGACGACGACGGCGGCGGCGACGACGACGACGACGACGACGACGATGACGACAACGTCGACGTCGACGACGACGACGAGGCTCGACAAGGCCCGAGGCGCGCGCCGAACTTGCGCACCTCGATCTTGAGGCAGACCTGGCCCGGCGCGCGGGGGGGACACGCGGGCCGCGGAGCGCTGCCGAGCGCCAGCCCCCCCGCCCCCCCCGACCCCCCCCCCAGATGGAGAGGCATAGGCGGAGGAGGGGGGGAGGCGGAGGAGGGGGGGAGGCGGAGGAGGGGAAGACATGCTCACCTTGGGGGGGTGGCGCGGGGTCCTGGCACGGGATCGGCAACTGCGATGGAGGCTCGAACCTCGCTGTGCCTGAGGGCAGGTGCCCTCGCACGAGCGCGGATGGCCTCCTTGGCACAAAGAGGGGGAGGAGGGTGGGAGTTTGCTCGCTCTGCAGAAAGCGTGCCCTGACGAAGGGGGGAAGGCGGAGGAGGTGGGAGACGGAGGATGGGGAGGGGGAGCGGATTAGCGGACTTTGAAGCCTACAGTGGAGCCGATGCAGCGGGAGCGGAGCGGAGCGGAGCACCTCTGCGAGACTGGGATTCTGCTCGTGCGGGCGTGGTTTATGCACAGCATAAGCTCTCGATCAGCGTTGCGGCACACACCGCGCGCGCCCTGGGACGGGAGGGGTGATAGGGCAGCGAGAATGATATCATGAGAAGATTGGCTCAGGGTGCGTTCCAGAATTTCCAGGGTATCTGGCCGCGCGGCCGGTGCGGAAAATTAGGGAATATGGGAAATCATGAATATCTTGGAGATCCTGGAACGTGTCATGATCATGACCTGCTGATTGCTCTGAGAGGAGGACGAGGAGAGAGAGAGAGAGAGAGTAGAAATCAGCGCGGCTCAGGGTGAACAAGGGCTACACGTAAGAGAGGCAAGAGTGACCTTTGGTGCGCGACTTTCGGGGGCAGCGGGGAGGCCGAACCGGAGCGCGCCACCCGCTGCTTCGGCACCGCATTCAGCCATCTGGGGGCCCCCCAGTGCCCGCACTAGAGGTCGTTCCAGCGAGGGACAGCTGGCCCTGGGGACCGCCCCGGGGTCCCAGGCCCGCTTCCCTCAGGACCCCCTTTTCTCTTCCCCGGCGGGACGAGGCGCAGGAGGGAGCGGCGGAAGCGGGAGCAAAAGGCAGGAGGGAGGAGGAGGAGCTGCCCAGCGAGGGGAGATACGATGCTGATGGCCCCGGCAGCGCTCCACAGGGGCGCACCTGGACTGGCATAACAAAAGAAAGTGAGCCCGCCAGGCGGCCCACGAGCCAGAGAGGACGCAACTCCGCCCGCCCAAAGGATCTCGGCGGCGGCACACAGACAGCACGACCCGAATCTCCGACGTCACCTAGCGTTCGCAATGTAGATCTCGAGGGACCGGTTTCTCATCCCGAATGCTTGTTTTCCAGTCCTTGGGCCAGGCGAGGGCCCGGGAGGAGGAGGAGGAGGAGGAGGAGGAGGAGGAGGAGGAGGAGGAGGAGGAGGAGGAGGAGGAGAGGAGGAGGGAGTGAGGAGAGTTTTGGTTGTGGGAGGTTTGCGGTGTTTACGCACACCTTTGTCCCCGGATAGCTTTCTGAGAGCTAAGAGCGCTCCAGATTAGAAGCCGGCAGAGCAGGGTAGCCCGGAAGCTCTTTCCGGCGCTGGGCAGGCATCCCCGCAGCAGGCTGCTAGAGTTCGCAGCTTGTCCCGAGAAGCGCTTTCCTACTCGTTCCCAATACGCGTGCCAAAGTCTTTTTTGTTCGCAGCTCCTTCGAAGCTCCTTCGAAGCTCCTGTCTCGAGCTTGCAAGCTCCCCAGGCATCCTTTCGAGCATCCTTGCAAGCGTCTCCAACAGGCGTTTCACGTCCTTTAGACTGCACCGCTATCCAGGTTTTGGACGCAACCAATGCCATACTGCTCAACGGGCTTCTCCCCCTGTCCAACTTTCTTTACCCTTCTGCTTACACATCGTGCATGCACTAGCTTGTATGTTCTCGATGGTTGATCGAGCGCTGCGTTCCGACCTCGTTTTTTTGGGGGGATCGCGGCAATCAAGACGCGACGGCTCCCGTCAGCTAACGCTGGGCCAACGCTGGTCCAACGCAAAAATGGGCGGGAGCTGGAGGCGGCTCGGGGTCTGAACTGGCTGAGGCCCCAGAGAATTGGCCAGGGGAGGGGATGAAACCCATTGCGCTCAAAATCGGTCCCTGGACCCCTCCCGGGGTCCATCTCCCGGGGTCCATCTGGTGCAGTTTTTCACTCAAGGTCCGCTGTTGACGGTCCAGGGAGCCGAAAACGGCCCCCGTGAGGCCGAAACAAACACAAACAACAAATCCCGAACGCATCGCCTAGAACCCGCCCGCCATTCCTGCTGACTGGAACCAATGCTTGGCCAACCTCAGACCCCCAGCCGACTCCAAGGCGGCAGAGAGCAGAGCAGAGCGCGCAAGTGTCCGCTGGGGCGGCGGGGCCTAGAAGGCCAGCGCGGGCGGGCCAGATCCCTCAAGGTTTGGAGGTGAGTGTCCTCGACAGCCGGTGCTGTGTGCGGCGCGTGCTGCAGAAACGCTGCTTCCAGGCTGCTCCACTTCTTGCGGCGTTGTGCCGGCGTGGGCCATCGCTGGCTGCCTCGTTCCAGAGGCGTGGCTGCTGCGAGAAACTTCACGACGACTCCGAGGCGGGAGGGGACGGCAAAAAGAAGACGAAGCCAGGACGAGGACCAATTCGGGAGAGGATAAATCGCGAATCTCAGAGATCAGGCGGCCCTGGAGGACGTCCGTCGGGCGCCGCGGCCTCCTCCGAGCGTTCCGGAACGCTCTTCAGAGCGGTCTGGAACGCTCTGGAACGGATTTGTATCCTCGTCCTAACCTTCTTATGTTGCATCCTCGGGGGACCTTGTCTGTCCTGTGACGGCCCTGTTCGCGTCGAATCCGTGTCGAATCCATGTCGGCCTTGTCGGATCCGTCCGTGTCGAATCCGCGTCGAATCTGCGCCAAATCCGCGCCGAGTTAGCCCCGTCCGAAGGTCGGGGGCGGCCTAGAGGGGGGCGTCAAAGAGGGGGGGACGCAAATCATGGCCAGGGGCATGTGCGCGGCACAGGGGGGGCCCAGGGACGCATGGACATGAGAAGAGGCGCCACGACATTCGGGGAGATAGATCTCATGGCCCCCCCAGCCATGAGATCCCCCCCCCCCCCCAGTCATCACCCCCCTCTTTGCCGCCCCCGAGAAGGGCGCCGGCCGCGCGGACAGCCCGGGGCGACGGGCCTGCCCCGCGAGGAGCCCCTTCGGCTCGCAGCGCCGGAAGCCCACCGCTCGCCAGAAGGGCAGCGACGAGCCCTCGGCGGCCGCGGCGGCGTCCCCGCCGCGGGGGGCCTGCGCCGGGCCCGGCGGCATGGCTGCAGGGGCCAAGGGACGCACAGAGGAGCAGACGCAAGTCCCAGGATCACCCATGCGTTCCAAATGCTCTGGATGTTCGGCTTCCCCTCCGCTTCTCCCATCTTTCCCACGTGCTCCTGGGGCATCGGCGGTTTCCTGTGTCTGTGTGAACTTTCTCCATCCGGGCACCTTTTGCTCCTGCTGCAGACGCTCCG